TCTGTGAACACACATTAGTTAGCATAAATCAGTTAAATGACGAAAAATTAGGTGTCTATTTACTTGTGACCACTCAGTGTATATTGTTCGATTATATATAAGAGAAAACAATTTGAGAGATCTCAACCTCTCCTCATATGACAACCCCTTCATCCCAGGTACCATTCTACTAACCCTCCTCTGAACTATTTCCAACATTTCAATGTCCTTCCTAAGGTAAGAAGCCAAAGACTGAACACTAAATGTGGCCTAACCAGTAACCTATACAATGAAATTATAACCTCTTTAGACTTGTATTCGGTATTTCTGTAGATAAAACCTAAAACCATATTTGCCCTACCACTAGCAACATCACATCGCTTGGATGGCTTAAAAGACTGATCAATCACTACATTAAGATCCCTTTCTGTTAAGGTTATTATCATCCGAATTATAATTCAAATTATGATAACCCACATGCATTATCTTGCATTTATTACAATTAAAATCCATTTACCATTTATTTGTACAACTCACTAAATGATCTATATCATTTTTCTTTTCTTTTTTGTAGATCGAATTAGATGTTTTTAACGTTATTGTACAAGAACATATTTGGATTTTTCATGTTTGACCCTTTCTTGTTTGTCATTAGATTTTATTCTCATCTTTCTTGTCTTAGTTAGTAGCTAATATGATCACTAAGTATAATCAGTGATTAGTTTCAATTTCTTCTAATCTTTATAACAAGATATTAATTACTAGTTAGTTTATATTTAATATCTTTGTTTAAGCGCAAAAATATAAAAAGCTATGCTCATAACAAGGATCAAATACAAATTTTAGTATTTTAAATTCTCAAGCTTGTCCATCAGGCGTTTCATTGGTAAACGTTAGGGCTTATAACACTAACTATCTGAGCTAGATCCCCTTACTGGACGCGATGCAGCTAACCCACTGTGTAACTTTCTGCAAAAACAAACAAATCCTTTAACATTAATACTGAGTCATCAGGTGCATTTTAATCCATATAATCAACAATTGTGTTCTTTTTTTTATCCACACGCAGGTTTTAAAGTATGGAGGAAAATAAAAACTAAAAAGTATAACCTTGAAGAAATAAACTGTATCCCTAAAACCATTACTGACATTTTTTATACTACCTTGTTTTTATTCTGTTATATATGTGAACTAATATATTTCACTTATAACTCGTTTTTTTCAATGTTCGATTAAAATATAAAAAAAAACACTTAGACTTAAGTTAGAGGGCAGCCTGGCAACGCTATTCCTATGCCAGTTTATAACGTGAGTTGTGTTTTATGGAGGTTGTCAAAGTTATAATGTCTAATTTATTTGATTAAGAATAAAAGACAGAGGTTAACATAGTATATTTACGTGAAATGTTCATGAATTGAATATTTTAATGTAGACCAATAGAGATTATGACCCGAGAATAGCGTAAATCTTCGGTCATTGTGAGGTGTCCATTATTTTAATTGAAGCTGACGAGTTGGAGAAAATTGTCACAGATTAGCTTAAGACTTTTAGAGTTAGGCCTAACTGGTATATTACAATCTAGAGTTAAACGCTTACGCTATAGTGAAAACATTAATTCTATCCTACAACTGTATTAATTATGGCAGACCAAGTATCGGCAAGTCTATTGAAAGAATTGGAAGAAGCTGCTAGCGTTCTCTTGGCCCCTCCTATTCAAGTCACTGGAGAACAGCGTCATGCAGCTGAAAGTATTTTTCTCAACTTTCAAAAAACAAAATCTCCCTTCCAATTGTGCAGGTACATTCTTGAAAACAGTAATGTTGATTACGTAACCTTTCAAGCAGCATCACTCTTAAAGCAAGCAGTAATTCGTGAATGGAAATTACTAGAAAAAGTGGACACAGAGAATCTCAGAAACTATCTTCTCCAATATGTCATTCAGCGGCCAGACTTGCAAAGTTTTGTGCGAGAACAGTTGCTACTTGTGGTTGCAATTATGGTCAAACGTGCAGATGTAGACAGTGAGTCATCACAAGTTGTTGAGAATGTGTTGTCTGAGGTTTCACAACTGATCAGTAGTGGTGACCAAAGAATGCAAACAATTGGATGTTCGATTGTCAATGCACTCCTGAATGAATATTCTAGTACTACTCGAGCAACTGATGTAGGCCTCACATGGGAGACACATTTGATAGCCAAGAAAAAATTTGAAACTATGGATTTGAAAAAGATATTCCAATATTGTCTTCAAGGCTTAAATGAACTTGCCAAGATTGGTCGTCCACTTCCTACAGAAGCAGCTACTTTGTTCAAAAAATTTCTTTTAATGGCAGAACAGGTATTAACTTGGAACTTTCAGTTAGCAATGCTGTTGCCACGAAAACTAATTGGTTTGTTTGAGGCACAACAGAATCCTACATTGAGACCAAACTCGGAATGGAAGGAAATTTTGTTAGATCCAACTATCTTGGAGCTTTTCCTGAAGTTACACTGGCAAGTTCGTGACAACCCAGATCTCTGTCATCACACGCTACAATGCCTGAACCAGCTGGCTTCATTAAATGGTGTTGTAATGAGTGACAGTAGTGACAGGTCTCGCTACTTATCCTGGTTTGTAGAAGGACTTTTGAAATTGTTGACTAGTGATAAAGTCAAAGAGCATGAAGCAGTTGGGCTATCCAATATAATCAGTAGGTTAGCAGTTTTTTTCCCACCACATGTTTTGAATTCACTGGCAACTGAGACTGTGAAAAATTACCTTCAAGAAATAACTAAATTAAGCTGTCATTTTGCTGAAGGAGCAGCTCAGGAAGAAGCACTTCACAGAGATGATCAGGTTTATATGGAAGCTTTTGAGCACCTGTTGGATGCTTGGGTTGCTATTCTTCAAGATCCAAACAATCTGGCCGAAGATGTACTGAAAGAATCAGCAATTCATATTTTTAATGCTTATTTACAGTTTCATCTTGCTCCACCAGGTGGTCAGAGAGGCTTGAATGCAAAGGAGGAAAGCGAAGAAATTGAGGAGATAGAAGAAGATGATCGCACAAAGTTTCGAGACCAACTTTCTGTAATTGGAATGTTAGGACGACAAGCTTTGGAACATTGTGTTCCTCTACTTTGGAGTTTGTTAGAAGATCGAGTCACACGGCTACATGGTCAGCTTCAGCGTATACATCAACTTGGAACAATACAAGAAGATTCCTCTGTCCTTGACAACCTCAATGAAGATATACATTGGCTTGTTCTTATTACAGGACATGTACTAGCTCCCTTCAGTGAAGGAGAAACATCTCTTATTCCTCCAGATGTGGTACACTACTGTGTTCAACAAGCAGGTCGAGTCAGTCTTAACACAACACTTCAGGTTCTTGCCTCACCAAGTCACAGAGCAGCTGACATCCCTGGTGTTGACCAGAATACTGATCATGTCGTTCGTCTAATAGCAGCAGTGTTCCGCATGTGTGAAGTTGAAAAGCGAGCTATAGAGGCCAATCTAACACATGTTCTGAGTCCAGAGGTTGCTACAACTCTAGTATGGTACATCAAAAGATGGGCTGTAACTTACTTGCTACCTAATGAAAGCTATTATACAGAGATGAGTATGACGCTTACTGGGGCATTTGGCAAAGATTCAGAAGCTGGACTGTGGACACTGAATTTCCTAATATCCAAACTAGAAACCAATTTGACACGCTGGAGCCATGAGCACAAGCTGGCAATTGAAACTTCTCAGACACTGGTGTCTGTATTAAACAACGTAGAGAGGGGAAGCCGAGCTATTCAGTGTGAGGGCTTGAAGAGTTTAATAAACAAACATGCTACCAACCAATTCCATTTGCTTCCTGCTGCAGCAAAACGTGGAATTTTGAAATCACTTGTCATTGTTGGAACAGCTAATCAGGATAAAGAAAGCAAAGAGCAGTACTGGAAACACTTAATTGAACCATTACAAAACCGCATTAATGCTGTCTTCTACAATGGTTCCTTTCATCAGAATTTCCACAGAGAGCAAGTGAAGTCTGAGGTTCTTGATTTGATAGAGTGTGTGATTGGTGTAGCTGATGGCTGTACTCTTCAGAACCTTTCATCACTTTACCCATTTATACAGCCTGTTTCAGAAGAATTTGTAAAACTGATGGATGTCTATCACAATTACAGTGATGTCACTGACATGATTTTTCAGTTTTTTTCAGTTTGTGCAAAGAGAGTTCTATGCTTTCTTGACAAGAAGGATTCCAAGAAGCTCTATGAAAGTTGTCTTTCAATGATTCAAATTTATGCAAAACACAATACTGGGAAAATAAGCCATGAAGCGAGTGCAGAGGAGGAACAGTACCAAGACATTTTAGTGTTGATGCAGCTTCTAACAGATCTTCTCTCCAAAGATTTTGTGGACTTCTCTCCATTCAACCCCAGTCAAGAAGAAGAAGAGTCTTCAGTTTCAGCAGCAGATGTTGCTCTCTATGGATTGAACATAATCATGCCTCTGATGAATGCAGAACTTTTAAAATTTCCTAACTTGTGTTTACAGTATTTTAAACTTATTACATTTGTTTGTGAAATCTATCCTGCTAAGGTTTGCCAGTTACCAGAAACTTTGTTTAAAAATCTGATTTCTTCTGTTGAGCTTGGTCTTTCATCCTTCACTCCAGAAGTTGCCACACTTTGCTTGGACTTTATTACGGTACTTGGAATACACATCAGAAGAGCAGGACCAGAAGCTACGACTGTAAGTGAAGAATTAAAGCCATTTCTAAAGATAGTTTTGGACATGGTCTTATTTCAGCCATTGGACAGTGATCTATCTCAGACTGCTGGTACTGCTCTTTTCACATTGGTCTGCTGTTTCCAGAACGAATATCAGGGCCTCGTTCAGGCCCTGATTGCCAGCCAGCATAATAGTCAAAATGCACAAAGACTTATTAATGCTTTCAATGAACTCACAGAGGGAGTAAATTTGGTTCTTGATCGACATAATCGTATAAAATTCAAAATGAACTTTGACAAGTTTACAACTGAAGTGAGAGGGTTCATGCTGGTCAAGTAAGTTTTGGAGATTGAAGTTGCAAGAAAGATGTGCATTTTTATATAACACACAAATACAGAATTTCATGCAGTTATAGTAAAATTTCTCAAACCATGTATTGAAGTTTTCTTTGATCATCTTTCATTCATTTTTTTTTTTAATTTCAACAATCATTGAAATATTTTGTTTTCTTGTACACATCAGTGGTTGTGGTTCTATGTTATCTGAAAATAAAAAGATAATCCTTTTTTTTTCAGTAATACTTTTAAGTTTATATGTATATTTCTGATAACAAATTGGGTATACTTGTACGAGTAACTGATAGTTTGTGTAGTGAGAAATGTGTAAAAGCAGGCAAGAGAATTTCTGCTGATTGGCAGAATTCAACTTATTTTGACCATCACCAGTGGTGGTGGGGGTGGGTGCCATGATTTGTCTGCAGCTGAGAAGAGAAAGCTTGTGGGAGGGTACTAATGTATATGAGTTATGTGCTGGTTAATAAGGAGAAAGTGCAAGACATTTTTATTTACAATTACTCAAGTTACAGAATATTTACCCAATGAAAAATGCATTCATATTAAAATAGGCCTTTACAAATCCCGGGTGCCAGGTCACTGTGGTGACTAAAAATTAAATCAAGGCACCTAGTAATTTCTCCCATTTTATTCATGTGTAGGGCTGTTCTAAATAAAACTTGAATCTAGAACAGTTCTGGACTCTTGGAAGTCCAAAACTATTTTAACATTCTTTGAGTTCTAAGTCAAACTTTGTTTCTATGATTTTAATGGTGGATCCAGTACGTTTTCATATTTGTTTCAGGAATGAAGCACTGCGGTTGCACAACACGTTACTAATTTTGTATTTCTTCTTTCTCTCAATTCAACCAATCATTGCACATGTTTAGACTGAGATGGGACCAAAGGCAGTTAGTTCAGGCAATACTATCAAGTGGTTGTTGATATCATGTGATTGTTAGCATGGACACGATGCTGTGAAACTAAATAAATATACACCGTAGCCCCCTATTTCCCAGTACAAACAGTAGTGAAGTTGGATTAGACACATCTGGCTTCTGAGTTTTTCGGCTGGTTCCTAGATTTGAAAATATTTGTTGAAGCCTGTATTAAAACAGTTAAGTGTCAGTAAAATTAAACTTTATTGGTTGTCTCATGATGGTATCCAATGCTGATACTTTAAAAAATGTATCAGTTACTTTCATTGTTTGAATGGTGGCAAGAAAGCATCAGTTTGAAGTGACAACTTGAGAAAAAGTTATTTTTAAAATTATTGAAAGAAACAATAAGACTTAAGTCAATAAAATTGATGAATATAAAAATTGTTTTTTGTAGGCCTGACTAGAAGAAAACTAGAATTTTCAGTATTTATTGTAAACTGAAAATATAAGTATATATATATATATATATATATATGTATGGCAGATTTTGTTAAACAAGACCGATGTCTGTAGGTTTACTTTCTTCTTAGAATTCTTCTCAAGAAGTCGATAAGCCGTCTTAACGTTGTAAGAACAACGGGTAAAAGTTGTAGCTAGTGATGAGTTGGCCGACGCGTTTCAAATGCATTCTGCATCCATTATCAAGCCTGAATGTTGTGTGAATTGTGATTACTGTTGGTGGATACTTATAGGTATGGGTAAGCAGGTGGTGGTATCTAG